GTTACTGAACAGTTGTAAGCTAGTGTTGGCCTATGGGCTGATGAGAATTTGCATCAATACTTATACACTGTCCTAGTATAATATATATGGCCATTGACCAATAAGATTTGATTATTCTTAAACAAAGTTAAAACAAAATGAGAATGACCAATCACAAGGAAGAAAAATGTATTACCATTTTTTCAATTGCGCTGAGAGATCATGGGTCACGTGACCCTCCATTTTGACAATTCTGAACTGGTCCAACTGATATACTATCGATTATCAGAAAGTAACGTCATCAGCTGCCCTACGTCACAATTCACATTTGATCAATATCGGACCAAGGCTGGTTACTGTATTCTTTAAAATTCATTCTTTTCATGACTTATTTTACAAGACCTATCAGTAGCAAATTAAACAAACAGAGGATAACAAATAATCTAGGCTACGTTATTTGTACAAAATTGCTTATACTTATAATATTAAAAAATAAAACAAATAAAACAAATAATAAAACGTAGTATTAAACACAATTATTGCTGATATTCAAAATTGGGTGGGTTGATATCAATAACAAGAGGCTTGATACATCATCTAGAACAGATATACTTGTTTTTCATGCTTAGTCAAGCCAAAATGGTCATAGAAGAGCTAAACTAAATGAAATATAAAGAAATGCTAATAAGAACACCTTCATTTCCTGCGGTACCGTACCATCTAAAAGAATACGACGTATTGATATTGCAACGCATTGGACGACGCGTGTAAGGCATCACGAATCAACACCTTTGCGTTATGCACGACTCTATCATATCAGTCAATCTTTTGAGAAAAAAAACAAACGGACTACTATATTTCAACATTATGTTAAGAGACACAGTTGTAACGGTAAACAGGTATCTAATACAATAGAACCGTTTCAATAGCCTTTCACGTTATAATACAATGTACGATGCGCTCTGTATATGCGAACAGCATAGGGTTAAGCTTGTTTTTAACTACAGGCTATAATCAAGCTGTCTTTTCAGACATTTCAAGAGCAATATGTTAATGCTATTGGTCGGAAACGTTTAGATATGTCAATTTAGATACACAGTTAGGAAATGTTTCCAGATGGAAGAAGCAACCGAAGAGTTTAAGAAGGGTTGAGCAAAAATAAATACATAAGCTAACGGCGATACACATCCATTAAAAGTTTGTCATCAAGTTTTAACCAATGGCCTTACTTTAATTGGTTTTACAAAATAGCTCCATTGCCTCATTGAATGGGCAAAAAACACACAAAACAAACAATTAGGTAGATCCTGTACAATATTTCTACAAAACCAACGTTTATGTTGGGATCTTTCGATTTAGTTATACATTCTTTCTGGTTGATTTGTATCTTTCAACTGTATTGCTATTCGTTTTAATAATTGACTTCAAATACTTTTCTATAGAAAACACCAATAATGGTCATAATGGTCATACAATTTCGTTAATTGAAAACGAAAAACATCCAAATCAAAGGTCCTCCAAATTGTTACAACTACTACTCATAATTGAGAGACAAAGTAAAAACTATACCAATAATCTTTCTACAAAAAGAAAGTACGTACAACCAAAATAAAAAGCAACAAGAGAAATAGACTGCTTCACCATACGGCAGTTATTACGAGTTGCCATCATGTAGTAAAAATGTTTAAAAACCCTCTGCATTAACAAAATAAAGAGAAAAAAAAAATAAGTAAAATATCAATCTTGTAAATGTAGTTTTTTAAATAATTGTATAAGAAATTCAGAGACATCTGAACGATAAATCAAATCGAAAACGTTGTTTTTAAATAAACCATTCATGTACGAATAAAAACAAAACAGAAAGAAAAAAAAAACATAAAAATTAATCAAAAATAGTTTAGCTAAAAAAAAAAGGAAGCAGATAGATAAATAACATCAAAAATGGTTTGAAAAATTAGTAGTTTTTGATTTACTAATACCAAATCCTCACGTACTACGAGAAATAAAAAAAAAAAATAAGGAAGAAAGCTAAGACAAAATTTACCACCAAAAAACAGTTCTTAGAAAAACAAATTTTAGACTCGTTCAATATGACGGCACTATATTGGCCTGATAAACGAAAGTAAAACAATAAATGAATAAAATGAAATAACGAAAGTACTACAACAAAGTACTAGATCTGTTGTAACTTTTATTAGGCACCCAATACCAGCGTTAAATAAACCATGTTTAAAAAATATATACTGTTACTCGTCTAAATATCCTGCATAATGAATTTTGTATCATAGACAAAAAATCTGAACTGAAAGAATCAAATTGCCCAGAATAAGAACATATATCTCTGATATCAGCATCATGAGGACAACTGTTATTTACATAAGCAACAATATCCCATACAGTAATTCCAATATAGGTTAACAAATCTAAAATAGTAGATGGGTCTACAAAGAAAAACTTAGAAGGTAAAAATGCGCCACTGAAAGAAAAATCCATCCTACAAGTTCAGACACGTTCAACATAACGTCACTGTTTGAATTATCTATAAGGCAGTTGTGACAAAAGGATTATCTGGTCATCTTTTGTTCTAAAAGTTACAAAGACCTAGTTGTCCAAGATCCATTGCAGTTGATCGATTTTATTCAGAACATAAACGGCCTACTTACATTATAGGTAGAGTCAAATTTAGGGCTATGAAATTTGCTAGGGCATTTTAAATTAGGTTGTTGTCATGTTTAATTGGGGTTAAAACAAAACAACCCGAATATACATAAAGAATCAAATGGTCCACAACCAACTAAAAAGCAGAAAAAGAACCAGCATACAGCTCTGTTTACCTTCACCTTGGAGCCAGTGATGCTGTGACAACATTTATTTACGTATTATTCCTAAAATTCCAATATAGGTTAACAAATTTAAAATGACAGATGGTCTAAAAAGAAAAAAAAATAGAATAGAAGGGAAAGATGGGCTCTGAAAAATCCATTCTTACAAGTTCAGACACGTTCAACATGACGTCACTGTTTGAATTATCTATAAGACAATCATGAAAAAGGATTAAACAATAGCTGGTCATCGCTTTTCAAAAGCTACAAGGACTTGTCTAGAACTATTGCAGTTGATCGATTTTATTCGGAACATATTTGACCTACAATTACATCACAGTACAGGGTGAAATCAAAGTGAGGGTTATGATATAGGTAAGGATATTTAAATGTAGGTGGTAGCTACGTTTGTAATGTAATGTAATGTAATGTAATGTAGTGGGATTTGGTATAGCGCATTATACCGAAGTCTCAATGCGCTGGAAAAACAAAAACAAAAGGCAACTCCTATTGTAACCAAACTAGAGATGCAGAGAAACAGACTGAGCAGAAGAACC